CAACCCACTGTCTCTTCATCGATTTTTCCACCACCACAACCCAGCACATCACAACTTCTATTTCCTTTCCATCTTTTGTGGTGTTGGTTCGTCGGAGTTGAAGGATTAAAAAGAGAAGGGATGGTGAAAACGTCGATGTCACTAAAGATGGAAAGGAAATAGAAGGTTGGGATGATTGGAGACGAGATGGTGAACGGTGGGACCCATATAAATTTCTCAAATATGGTTTCAGGTTTATGGTGAGAAGATACAAATATGTAGGGTTGATTAACATTTTTAAATATATGTCGTTCAAAAAAACTTTTTTAAATATATAAAAAATAAAAACATAAATAATAAAATTAATTAAAAAATAAATTAATAATGGCACAATAGTCTTTTTAGGTAAGACATGAACCAAACGCACAACAAAAATAAACAGTAGGGATCATACGAGTTAAAAAAAAGTTAGGGACCAAACACACAAATTCCCCCAAACCACGGGGACCATTCGTGTAATTTACCCTTACTTTTCATTTTGTTTATATTTGGGTAACTTTTTTTGTACACATCTAGGTAACGAACTTGTTGAAAGTGCTCATATATGACCATTATGACCGGATGTAACCTGCTACATCCGGTTATAACAGTCATATGTGAATATTTCCGAAAAATTTATTACCTAGATGTGTACAAAAAAATAGTTACCAAGATGTGAGTAAAACGAAAGTTAATTACCTTAATAATTCATATTCCCAAAAACAAACGTTGTAGTGGGGAAGAGTCTAGGAGGGGTGGCTATGAAAAAAAAGTTAAAAGGGGTGAAAGAATTAAAAATGAATTTATTTATGTTTTATACAGCGGTCCATTCGATTTGTCTAAAATATATAGGTTGATGAAAGCAAAGTGAAAAGAAAAATTGAATAAAATACTAATAAAACACTCTTTATGACATGTTTAAAATTGTATGGGTTTATAATAACAAAAATAACAATTTACGAATATTTGGATTTTATATTATTTAATGAGGATAATGATTGAAAAGTTTAATGTATTTGTTGATTTGTATACATTTCGTTTGTATACATTTCGTCACTGAGATTTTTTTCATCCATATTTACCGCCTTCAACTTGTTAAACTATACACATTCGGTCCTTATGACTGGTTACCAGGTTAGCCAGGAAAAATGACTTAATAGGGTAATATATTTCTCATTTTGTACACATTTAGTCCTTAATATTTTTGTACACATTTAGTCCTTAATATTTTTTTATTTCAAAAGAAGTCATTTTTGTTTTTGTACTCATTTAGTACGTATGAATGATTTATTTATATTTTTGTCACGACATCTTACGTGGGACAATCATTGATGGGGTGTTTGGGGCTGTTGATGCTTATGTCCATCACGATCTTGATTGTTTAGTTGCGTAGGTCTTTTGGTTTGGCTTAGGTCATGTGTTTTAAACATCGTAACTTCTTCATACGATATCAGATTTTAACGATCTTTATACTTACGTGTTTGTTTTTTTGAGTCTACTACAACTTTCGTTAAGATTATTCCCTTTAAAATGTAATATATTTTTACTTATGATTTTATAAGAAAAACATTCATACATGCATTCATAAAAAACGTATGGATATAAACATCGTAAGTAAAAATATATTACTTTTTAACAGGAGTAATCTAAACGAAGGTTGTAGTAGACTAAAATACGAACGCATGGATATAAAAATCATTAAAATCCGAGATCATATGAAGAAGTTATGACGTTCAGAACACATGACCTAAGCAACCAACTAGTCGAGATCGTGATGAACATAAACATCAAAAGCCTCAAACATCTCATTAATGATTGTCTCACGTATGATGTCGTAAGAAAAACCTAAAGAAATCATTCATAAGTACTGAATGAGTACAAAAATAAAAATAACTTATTTTATAACGAAAAAATATTAAGGACTAAATGTGTATAAAAACATAAAGGACTAAATGTGTATAAAGTAATAAATATATTACCCTATCAAGTCATTTTTACTGGTTAACCAGTAGTAGCCAGTCATAAGAACTAAATGTGTACACTTTAACAAGTTGAAAGAGAAAATATGGACTCAAAAAAAATTCAGTGACTAAATGTTTACAAATCAAAAAAATATTACCATATTTGATGATCAAGACTCGGGTAAAAAAAAAAAAAAAAAAAGACGAAACAACAGTTTATCTGAATTTAATATTGAAACAGTGAAGCCTTACATTCACATTTCCTTATCATAAAATATGAGTTTGACTCATTAGTTAATAAGACAATGGGTTATATAAAGTTAGCCCATATGTTAAAAAATGTATTCATTGGTTTGGATTAGAAGTGTCTGTTTTCCCATTGAAAGCGGAACTAGTTTTGGAAAAAATCAGTTCTCTTTTTTATTTTATTTTTTTTAAAACTAGTTGAAATTGGTTAATTCTTGAAGTAGATCATACTAAATTTTGTCAAATGTTTTTTTATTTGATTAGAAACAAATATTGATGATGGGAATGCTATGCATTCACTCACGTACAACTTTATAGAAAGGGGTAAGACGGGAAATTAGCATAGTAAAGAGAATTTTATTTATATTATTAATTTTTTATGTCAGATACTATAAGAGGGTAGTGGGCAAGGAGTGAGACGTAACTATCTTTTGTGTGAAAATTGGAATTCATTTCTATTAGGAGATTGGCTATCTCGAATCAACTAAATTATCTTTATTCTTGTAATTATTTGAGTATTATAGAGTGTTTCAATCAATATTAGAATCATTTGATGGTTTTTATGTTATTGGATCTGTTTTTAAAATCTAGTTCATAACAATTTGGTATGAGAGCATTCACGATTATAGTTGGGATTATGGATGGAGAAAAAGGAGCAAGGATGCTGGAGGAGCTCTACTCAAGAGGGTTGAATCACTAAAAACATAAATAAGGCAGTTGTATGATCGAATGGAGAGTCAAGGGCATTAGATCCAACATCAAGACTCTATAGCCTCTCTCAGTTGAAGATGGACCAGAAGTTCAAAGAGGTTTTGAGGGCCATAGCCAATAGTCATGTAACATCCCGAAATATCAAGAGTAGAGTTGAAGGGCTAAAAGAGTAAATTGGGAAAGAGTGACTCGGCGAGTCCATGTGCGGACTCGGCGAGTAGAGTCGCGACTTGGTTGCGTGTTAAGTGGCCGACTCGGCGAGTCAGTGTAATGGACTCGACAAGTAGGCGCTGAGTGGAGAAAACCCTAATTCTCGGGGTTGAGCCTTATATGAAGATCACTATGTTTTCCTCCCAGCCTCTTTATCACCTCTTGAGCCCCAGAAAACCCTAAATCACGGAGAAGCACCATTGTTGAGTGGATTGGAGCTTGGAGAAGTAATGGTTGAAGAAATTTTGGGAAGATTGAAGGCTTGGAGCAAGGGGCTTTGCTTGGATTCGAATTTCATTGCATTTGGGGCATCACTTAGAGGTAATATCTCGTTATTGACCTGTTGTTATGTTGTTTCTTCATTTTGGGGTTTGTGAGAAATTGTCTATGGATGAAATGGGAAGTCTAGAGGTTAGATCTGAGGTTACTACCTCAGATCTGGAAGGGAGAAGAATCAAAGAGCATGAAAGTCCCTGTGTTGGAGTGTTTAGTGAAGCTTACATGTCCCAAACCCTAGCCCCAATGTGCAAACGGCTTAGATCTCTTTGGATTCACGTAAAGTTTGCCACTTTACGTGATGGATGAGTGGTAGGAGACTAGATCTATGTTTTGGATCAATTGCATGGCCTGAGACGCTTCTGTATGGATTCAGACCGGTGGTACTCGACGAGTCACATGGGGCGACTCGACGAGTTGCTTGAAGATGGCCTGGAACTCGACGAGTTGGAAGAACAACTCGGCGAGTAGGTTGAAGATAGCCTTGGACTCGACGAGTCCATTTGGACTTGGCGAGTCTTGTCGAAGAGTCCTAAATATTCTCTGGTTGAGTCGAGAATCGATGAGTCGAGGGATGACTCGGTGAGTCGTGTGCGAGTGGACTCAGAGTTGTTGGACTCGGCGAGTTAGGTCGCAGATTGAGTGAAGTTCTGATTATGGGAACTCGACGAGTCACAGGGTTGACTCGGCGAGTAGGGTCAGTCAGGGGTTGACTTAGACTGAGGACTTTGATTTCGACCAAGGGTTGGCCGTTGACTTTTAGGGTTTGGTCAGCGATGTGGCCTTTGGGCCAAGAGAAAGGTAAAATAGTCTTTTACCCATAAGAGGGTGTTATGAGAGGATTTATTCTAGTCTCGAGAGTTATATTCATGAGAGTATTTGCCTTACGTGTTAGGCGGTGGCGAGTTCGAGATTCAAGTGTGGGGATATCTGCTTTCTGCTTGCCAGGTGAGTCTTCTCACTATACTTTACCTTGAGTAGGTAACCAGAGTTATGTGATCAGAGTATTTGTATGCTATATGTACGTGATGTGTTGTACTGCATTATTTCTATGTGATTTATGTTGTGCATGTTTATAGAGTTGGAACCGGAAGGTTCCCAGAGTTAGAACCTGAGGGTTCACAGAGTTTGGGTGCACGGACCCATAGAGTTATAGCCTCGAGTGGCTAATATGTGTTATGTGTGGTATTTTAGGGAACTCACTAAGCTTCGTGCTTACAGTGTTTTGTGTGATGTTTTTCAGGTTTCTTTCAGTAACACGGGACGGCACCGGCTTGATTGTACACACCAGAGAAAGAGTCATATTTTGGAGGATCCTGGTTTTCTATGCAAGTGAAAATGGAGTCATGTTTTGTAAATCGACTATGAATGAGATTTTAAACAAGTGTTTCTAAGAATAAAATGATTATTTTAAATGAAAATTTTGTCTTGAAATTTACGGTGTTACAAGTCACCCAGAAGAGCAAAATGGAAAGAAATTAGTGGGAGAAGAGCACAGCCGCGACCCTCATTTTTTGTTTGTGGAGACGACAAAAGGGATAAACCCTATCGGTATGGGATCCAGTTGAGGTTCAAGAAATGGAAGAGGAGGTGGTTCCGGCGGCAGAGGCGATGGCTATACTACCGGAGGTGAATGCTAAGCAGGGGCCAACCAGAGATTTCAAAAATGTGAGATGCTCTTGGTTGATGGAACTAACACAGAGGAGTGGATTTTTAACATGGAAAGATCATTCTATTCGTATGAATATGAAGAAACGATGGAAGCTGCGGTGAGGTCTCTAGAGAACAACACTTTACTTTTTATGAATGGGAGCATCGGAGGCGGACCATTCAAGATTGGGAGGAGTTGAAGGGCCTTATTTGTCGTCGATTTCGGTCTTCAAAGGTCGCGGAAACATGGCAGTTTAGTGCAGTTTCCCAAGTGGATACACTGTCAGAGTATCAGTGTAGCGTACGTCCGGGGGTAACGACTCCATTAGATGATGGAAGGGAATAAGTGCTTTTAGGTTTTCGTAAAAATGGACTTGGAATGGACAATTGCGCCGAAATCAGAACCTTGGACTCATATAAACCAGATCAGAAAATAGATTCTGAAAAAGGTAACAATTCCAACCCAATCCCTATCATTACTAAATCAGTTAAGGGTGTAGAAAACTCAAGTCCACTGGATATTAAAGCAACGATACCCAAATTAATCACAATCGGCGATTGTTCCACCGTTTCTCATGCAAGCACCACCTTCTCCGATCCTTAATTCAAACTCAAGCATGGAGTTTTCGCTCCAATCACACACAAATAGTCATCAACTGGACCGATGTTCAATTTCACCATTTCACCCAAGATCAATCATATGGGGATAGATATTGTACATGATGGTGACATTAAGACTCTTCAACAAGAAGTGGGCATCATGAGATAAATGATCCTTCAGAAACTTATAAAGACGAGACATATCCTGGTGTCAACGGCAAGCAGAGGGAGTTGCTTGAGATAGAGTTGTCAACGCTTCCTTCTCTTATTAAGGTTGTGGCGGAGAATAGCGTTACCGATCACTTATGTGTAACAGAGCTCATTCTACATGATCAACAATTTTTTCAGAAACTAATGGATTTGTTCAGTGTATGAAGATTTGGAGAACTATGATGACCTTCACATAATATACAAAATTGTCAGACGTATCATCCCCGTTAATCCACAGATCCTTGAGTAAATATTTTATGATGAACTAATAATGGACATTGTTGGATGTCTTGAATATGACCATGATGTACCACACATCTGCCATCACAACTTACTTAAAGAACATGTATTTAAGGAGGCAATACCAATTAAGAATTCCCTGGCTTCATCAAAGATACATCAAAAGCATACAGATTCAGTTACCTCGAGGATGTTGTTTTGCCTAGAGTATTGGATGAGGTGACAACTGCAAGCTTGACTACCATAATCCACTTAAACAATAGAATGGTTGCAACTATGTTGAAAGATGATACCAAATTTATGAATGAGTTTTTTACGAGGAATCTTGTATCTGAAGGCATATTTGAAGTGATTGGTGATGGGATTGTTCACGGAGGAATCTGATGCACAAGAGTAGCCATGAATGATTGATTCAATAATAGATGAAAATGTTGCTTTGATTTCTAACCCTTTGGCTCCTTTAATGGAAGCAGTTAAGAATGAATTTGTAGAGACCATACTTGCTGATAATATAGAGTTGCCGCCAGCTCTAATTGAGAAGCTTAAGGAGATTAAACTGAAGACATTGAAAGTGCACGTGTATGAGAGTGATTGCTTACAGGTGGGGGACCTCAAGTATGTAGGTAATCTGACCAAACAAAGTGTGGTTGGATTTGGAGAAGTGTTTGGACATGAGCATAGTTATGTTACCCTATATGGTGTGGCTGATTTTCTTAACCAACATATCAACAAAGGTGAGAGCAGGAAAGGTAGAATGGGTGTGAGGGTTCTCGAGAATGTGTTTTGGAGTTTGAACATCTTCACATATTGGGGTGCTGCATACTGAGGTGACGGAGGTGCCACTTGTTGAGAGCAAACCATCCAAGCTTGGAAAAGCTAGAGAGGCAGTAACCAAGGTTGTTGTACATGTTACTGCTGAAGTTATTATGAGTTCAAGTGAAAACCCAATTAAGAAAGGGAAAAGCCACACTAAGAGAAACATGTATTGCCAATTGTCCCTTCTGCTATTTTTGGAGATTTTGTGGGGTGGAGAGGGAAGACCACCATTCACCTGGACCACATGGGAGGATTTGGATATTGTACATAAGACTTTCCCTTTATCCACCTTGAAGACAAGGTGGTTCTTTCAGGGTGGGATATTGTTATACATTCACTCACGTACAACTTTATAGAAAGGGGTAAGATGGAAAATCAGCATAATAAAGAGAATTTTATTAGTTCAAGGCCTTTAAGGGCATTTTAGGCATTTTATATTATTAGTTCGTTATGTTAGATAGTATAAGAGGGTAGTGGGCAAGGAGTGAGGTATCTATCTTTTGTGTGAAAATTGGAATTCATTCCTATTAGGAGATTGGCTATCTCGAATCAGTTAAACTATCTTCGTCATTATAATCATTTGGGTATTATAGAGTGTTTCAATCAATATTAGAATCATTTGATGGTTTTTATGTTATTGGATCTGTTTTTAAAATCCAATTCCTAACAAGGAGGTTAATGGGATTTTATAATATTAATAAGTAACACCAAATTTTTAATATATAATAATAACGTACATTACTATTTCTGGCTTTTAGGTCCTAGCTAGGATAAATGCAAAAAGTAGCAATATACATTCATTTTTTGTTCGATTTTTGGATTCAAATATCTTTGGACTAGATGTTAAAAATAGCAAGAAACTTTGATATGTAACTTATCATTGTTGAAATGTGGGATGCTCGTGTTATTAGTACAAATCAAATTCATAGAATTCATCAACATGATGGAAGCAACATTTGTTTTACATCCACATATCAAGTCACTATTGGTGCACCATGTAATGCATTATCAATTGTATAGACAATGAAGGATAATGTTTTTAAATATCTCTGTTTTTTTTAAATTTGATCAACTTGTCTTTTGTTATCTTTTTAGTAAATTATGTCTTAGAATTTAATGAGCATAGTTAATGAAATTAAATAATAAAAACCCAAAAACCAGAAAAACCAAAACCAAAACCAAAAAAGGATAAAAAAAATATGGGAAAAAAACATTATTGGTTTCTTCCAAAAAACCAAAAGCCAAAAATTTTGGTTTCTCCCAGGTTTATAAGTGCCTATGTTCTAACTGACGCGTGGATAGAGCCTTCTCATTAAACAGATTGTCAGAGAGTCTTCTCATTAACCGAGTGTCACAGGGCCTGCCAAATAATCAGGTAAATAAGGTAATAACTTAGCCAAATAATAAGGTAAATAAGTCTAATAAAATTTGGGCTATATAGAAGAAATAGCATTGTAATTTCATTAATTTATTTATTAATAGCATCTACGTATATTGGTTTGTATATTATAGCATTGTACATCAAAAAATGTTCCTTATTATTGCGTTGTATATTGAAAATACCCAATGATAGCAATTTCATCTAAAATACAAAGCACTTTTCGCTGCTACAATAAGAAAAAGAAAAAAAAAAAAAACAATATATAGCGGGTAAAAATTCTCAAACTGCAACGCCTCAATAGGAAAAACTTCAATGTTATAATAGAAAGAAATGAAGGTAGGATGCTATAACACACATGTATATGTGTGTACACAACTATTTCTTGCATTTAGCTCATAAAATTGTATAGTTAATTTTAAATTTGAAGTACTAGTACCTTGGTAATATACCTAATGTTGTGTATAGTTTGGGAAAGATCTTTGTTTGGTTTTTATCTAATAGAATAACCTTTGATCATTCTACTATTAGGCTGCATTCATTACACGAGACATGACAAGATATGCTTTCTCCGGCTATTTCTAGTGTTAAGGACAAAGAGCGCATTCACGTGCTTTGCACTGACAAGAGGACGAGAGTGAGTCAATGCCCGGTCTTGTTCCATCAACTTTGTTGGGACAAAAAATTACATCATTTGTCTCATTTACATTGGTCTCACTCCTGTTCCAAATCCAATGCATGTCAAACGTAGTACATGGCTATTTCACCTGTCTTGTCCTGCATAACAAATGGGGACTTGAGATTACTTATTTTACCACTAAACCAGAATTTTTTACTAGTTATTGCCCACTGATTTTTCATAGTACAACATTGTAACAGGGGGAAATGAAAGTATGATGCTATAAGAAAGATATAATTTTGAAGTAGGGAAACACATCATAAATCTAAGAGTTCAAGTAGAAAAAAAAAAAAACCTCTTTATGTTGTGCTGCATGTTGGGAACTTCTAAAAGATGGAGAAACTCCAGCTCTCTAATGAATAGAACAACCTCATCTTTGGTTTGCTCAGTGTGCACCTCCACAACTTTCTCCCCGATCGAGTGTGGTGCCTTCTATGATATATTAAAAACAACACTATTTGGTTTAGGAAGAAAGAAGAAAGCATGATGTTGAAAGGACCTATAGATACTAAGGACAAGAATCAATTACATTAAACAATGTAAAGGTTAGGATAGATAGAAACACAAATATAATTTTAAATGCCAGAAAAGAAGAAAAAAAGAAATAAAGTCTTTACATTTTGAGTCATTTGCATGAGATCCATATGTGTTTTTAGGAGTTTAACATCTCATTCTTGAACTCTAAGACTGTATGATAAAGGCTCCAAATCTAATTGAAACGATAATAACTAGAACACATGGTGTTTTTGTATGCATAGGACTTGTATTTTCTTTTAACTTTAGTTATAAATATTTGACTGAAAATCAATTATTGTCATATCAGTGTAAAATTTCAAACAAAAGTAAGATGTGCATTAGAAAAAGGAAAAAATACCCGTTAAAATTATATATGTGAATTTTCTTCTTTCCGGGTCTTCGGAGCTTCCCAAATCATCCCTGGGTATATTGAGTGTTGTATCTCAGATCTAAAATCACATGACTGAAGCACTCTCCGCCCAAAAATATGAAGTCGTTTCAATAAGAAGATGCTCTGCGGGAGATAACTTATGCATGTACATGTTATATCTAAAATTTGTAAGCATTCTAAACATCCAAGTTCCTCGGGCAATTTCTCAAGTTTAATACAATAGTAGAGACTGAGATATTTTAGACATTTCATCATACAGATGCTCTCCGGGATATCTCGTAAATGCTTGCAAAAACTGAGGTTCAGATGCTTTAAATATTTTAATCGGCCAAGATCCTCAGGTAACTTCTCAAGTAATAAACAATCGTGAAGTTGGAGAGATTCAAGATTTTTCAACATGCAAATGCTATCAGGAAGATCTTTAATCTTTGCAGATGACAAAGTTAGCTTCTTTAAATTTTCTAAACGGCCAATTTCTTCAGGTAATGTTTCAAGCAGCAAACAAAAACTAAGATTGAGAAGTTCAAGATGTTTCAGCATACAAATGCTATCAGGGAGTTCTTTAATCTTTGCAGATGATAAAATTAGCTTCTTTAAACATTCTAATCGGCCAAGATCCTTTGGTAACTTCTCAAGATTCCAACAGGATTTAACTTTGAGAGATTTAAGACGTTTCAACACACAAATGGTATCGGGAAGATTTTTAATCTCTGTATATGACAAATCTAACTCCTCTAGATATTCTAGCTGGTCAACGTCCTTAGGGGCCTCTAGAATACTGCCTTCGAGTTTAATCTTCTTTAAATGTTGTAACCCACAAATGCTTCTTGAAAAGGTCTCATGGTTCATGCAAGCACATAGACCTACAGAAATAAGCTTCTCAAGGTTTCTAGTCAATAAGGGTTTATCTTCTTTATAAAAGCATGTAAACTGAAACTTTGGCAAATTATTGTTCGGGTGAATAGGGCATCCATCTAGGGACTCCACAATCAGATGTAACTCAGCTATAGAACCAACCTCAAGTGATTCATCCTCACTACAAGAAGAATCATACTTGTTACGAGAAGCAACACTCTCTATCCAGAATTTAAAAGATTTAAACCTCAAACAACGATTTAGGTTTAAGTAGACAAGCTTTGTTAAACATCCATTGGCTATGTGAAGTTCTTCCATATCATTACAATTTTCAAGATCTAACGTCTCGAGATTTGGAGTCAGCCTGAGGTCAAGGTTCTTCAACTTTGAATAACTTATGTCGAGGTATGTGAGCTTTGGGCATTTATCGGCCATGTGAACTTTTTCCAGATCATAACAAAGTTTAAGATCAAAATACTTGAGATTTGGAGTCAGCCCAATGTCAAGGGTCCTCAACTTCGAGTTTGCGAGTTTGATGGAACTCATATTTGGAGATCTACAAGGCATTTGAAGTTCTACCAAATCCGAACATCCTTCAAGATCTATCAGCTCGAGATTGGGAGCCGACCCAAGGTCAAGGGTCCTCAACGCTGACCAACTGAGGTCGACGGTTTTGAGCTTTAAACATCTAGCAGGCATCTGCACTTCTACCAAATCACCACATCCTTTAAGATTCAACGTCTCGATATTTGGAGTAAGTCCAAGATCAAGGGTCCTCAACATTGAATTGTTGAGGTCAAGGAATCTGAGCTTGCTAAGAACCTAGGGTAAGTTAAAAAAGATGAATGTTAGTGTAATTACAAAGCAGCAGATGTATATCATTCAAAAGGGTATCGCAAAATAATCACTCAACCATATTCTACCTTTCTTTCTCCCCCTTCCCAAAGTTGTACAATTCTGCTGTGAGCCATATCAAGTGTAACAAGATTATTTGCTTGAAATGTTTTGGTTAAAGACGTAAAAGGATAATGGTTCCAACGCAGATATTGCAAAGCATTTGACCATTTATTAAATTTCTGATTCGGGTTAGAACAATCACTTTTACTTGGATCAATAAATCCAATAGACACATCAAGAAATCTAAGTTCCTTCATCTTTCTAAGTCCTTTCATCAAAATTTCCGGACTGAGTTCCGATGTGTATAATTGTATATATCTTGTAGCTTCAGTACCCTGTAATCCAAAAAGAAAACACCTTGAAACTTGTGTCACAGTTAATAAAAATGTGGAAGCTCTAACTTAGGATTAAACTTGATCCTTACCAATTTATTAGACAAGATATCTACAATTTCTTTGTTAATCCACAATCGACTATGTTTGTTAGGCTTATCCGGGTGTGAACGACGAACAATATTCTTGCCAAGTTCTTCAATATGGTCATGCATGCCCAGACGCTCGGCATAAAAAATATTGTTATGAATAGTTATGAGAGATTTTTGCTCAAGAACTCTTAAACCATTTCTAGCATGAAATCCACAGCTTTCAAGCGCATTGAGTGCACGGGCTTTCGGCCATCCTTTAAGGAAGCATGCAACATTTAGAAATATTTCCTTGTAATCCTCCTCTAGACTGATATAGCTTATTTCCAACTTTTGCAGAGTTTCCATTAACGGAATTGTTTTAAGTCTTTCTAGGGCATCTATCCATTCAAGCTCATTTTTACCACAAAGAAACGAAGCCAGAACTTTGATCGTTAACGGAAGCCCAGCAGCATAATGCACAACTTGTTGTGATAGCTCTTCATACCCTGGATTTGGATTCATTCTCCCAAATGCATACTTACTAAAGAGGCAAATTGCTTCCTCATCCAATAACAACACGACGTTATGAATCGACTTCACTCCATGTGCCACGAGCACTTGCTCATCTCTTGTTGTAATGATAATTCTGCTTCCTGGCTTAAACCAATTTGTCTCACCGGCTAAGGCCTCAAGCTGCTCTAAATGATCCACATCATCTAGAACAAGAAGAACCTTTTTACCAGGCATCCTCCTCTTCATCTTGTTTTTTCCGTCATAAACACTACTAACAGAGATGCCCTGATCATCATTGAAGACATCAGAAAGAATTTGATTTTGCAACGACTTCAATCCAGACAAAGAAGCTTTTGAAACTTCCCTTACATTCTCAACGAAGCTTGCACCTTCGAATTGAAAGGATATTTGATCAAAAACAGCTCTGGCCAAAGTTGTCTTCCCACCACCTCCCATTCCCTTGATCCCAATCATGCGGACATCATCAAAAGCAGATCCTAAAGACGATAAAACATCTTTGATTCGGGTCTCCATGCCTACTAATTTTTCATCAATGCTGAAATTGATGGCTCGTAACTCTAGTGAAAGCTCTTCAACAATTTTTTGGATAAATTTAGCTTCACGACTGTATTTTAAAAAAAAAAAATTAATTAGCTTATTCAAAACCCCATAAGAATTAATTTCACATCTATAGAAAACAAATGTACATGATGTAACATGAGATGCCATGTCCGATCCTTTTCGGCTTTTCCATCCGGTGCTCCAGGGTAAACTCAGATTAGAAAGAAATAAGTTTAAAAAATATTCCGTATATATCATATGATGAAATAATTTGAAATGTTTTTTTTTCCTTAGGATTGAATTACGACAAAACTGAATGCTCAAGCTCCTCTTTTGATAAATACGAAAATACTGAAAGTGGAAACCGATTTAGAATGGAAATGATTGGGAACTTTTAGTCGAGTTGAGCCGGATTTCACAGAAATGAAAAAAAAAAAATAGGATGATGAATTACCCATACGCAGCGCTCTTTAACTCCCATCCAGCCAAATTTGCAGCTTCTCTCAGAGCGTCCCTCCATTTCCCAACAGCCTTGTCGTTTTCATGGTTGGCCAAGGCTTTTTCAACTGACCCGCTTTGATTGCGGACTTCCGTCGGTTCGACATCATAGAAAATAGGGTAGGCAGTGTGCTCGTCGTTCTTGTGACATTCCATTATCTTCACAAGCTCGTTTAAACACCAGGATGAAGATGCGTAGTTTTTGGAGAAAATGATGAGATAGAGTTTTGAGTCTTCGATGGATCCGATGAGCTCATCACAGATCACGTTTCCCTTCTTAATTCTCTCGTCGTCTTTGTAAGTGTGAATCCCTTTCTGTTGTAGAGCATGATAAAGATGATCAACGAAATTTGTGCGAGTGTCTTCGCCTCTGAAACTCAAAAACACATCATATTTAAAGCTCTTGTGAATAGATGAAGTGGAAGAAGACGCCATTGCTGTATGCTTGAAGGATCCTAAATTTCAAATCTATATTCGGGATATTTTATACGAAATAATTGCGAAGATTCTCAGATGACTAAATTATCCTCAACAACAATGGTTTATATTGTCACAGCTAATGTGAAAATGATCCCCAAAAGTCACCGCCAAACCACACAAACGTTATCTTTAAGTTGGAATATTTCGTTTTTTCTTCCATTTAATATTTTTATATTACACAATAATTATTATTTTTATTTCATTTAAGGATTAAAACAATAATTGTACCATCTAATATAATAATATTTAAGTTGTATATGGAATGGTTTGGTTTGAACCATAACTATTACAATCTCTTAATGTATTTTAACAAGTAGTAGTTAATATTGGTTTTCGTTAGCGGTTTTAATCGATTAATGGTTATGGTTTATGGTTAATATTGGTTAACTATAATGTTTTGTCCAAGATGACAAAATAAATAAAAACATGTTTCTATAAAAATTTAAGATTATTTATAAAAAGTACGTACAAGTATATATATATATATATATATATATATATATATATATATATATATATATATATAGAGAGAGAGAGAGAGAGAGAGAGAGAGTGAGAGAGAGAGAGATTACTTATCATCTCTAATTCTAAATAACTACATTTTAAATTTTAAATTCTTAATATAATTACATACCATATATTTAAAATTATATTATGTTAAAAGTATTTATTAATATTATTGACTCGGTTCGGTTTATAATGGTTCAGTTTTAGATGAAAACGATAATCGAACCATATGTATTTGGTTAATCAAAATTAGAAACCACATCATATTTTTTAGTAATGGTTCGGTTAAAATGGTTCAATTATATTAGTTAATTTGATTATGGTTTGCTTTTCAGTTAATATCCTGACCCCTAATAATATTAATGTTTTTCCGTGTTTCTCGTGATATGGCATGGGTACTTGCTTGAATAATTTATTAGTACAAGATATCCCTTTGTTGATTATGTAGTTGATATGGATTGCTAGAGGAACCGACATGGTTAATAATGGGCTTACCGGCTTTCCTGAGCTTGCCTTAGTGTTGGCGTATGGTTATTGTGTATGGGCTAACCCCTCATACATCATTAAGCCCTCAACACAATTAAAAAAGGTTGGTACTCAACACACTTACAATGATATTGAGACTAGGTTGGCAGATAGTGTAGTACTGTTATAAGACTACGGGGTGGCCCGTAGCATTCACCTAGACGATGAGCAATTACAAGGATGTTGAGAAGCTATTCTTAGGCTCGTAGTTTCCTCTAAGTGGAACTAGATCATGGTAGGATGGTTCGTGAGACTATGGGAAGGCCACAACATTCATAGGATTGAGGAAGGTTGTGGGCTATTTGGATACCTGTGGTGCATGTAACATTCATTTAGAGAAAAGCAGGTCATGTTACATCGGTGTAATGGTTAGTTATGTTATCCCTGGTTTGAACTAGAGGGTTGTTGAAGCCTTATATACAAGTAGGTTAGAGTAGCCTTTCCGGGCAAATTCTTGGATAAAGTCTCGTGGTACAGTTATTTGAATGATGTCGGTTTCAGAAATCGATCGGGAACCTGGCGCTTCAGATAATTGGTAGATCAGCTCGGAGCTCAAAAGATCTTGGATGGATTGAAAATGTGAATGTTTGGTCGGCAGGATAATTTACGGTCATAAGGATTTCATTCTAATTACATTGTGAAGTCGAGCCATATTGGCTGTGATTCAGAATGGTTTTGTTTGTCGAAAAGTCAGATAAGGTATTGGATTCCTGGATTTGAGCTGAGTAGTGATGGTTGTCCTTTATTAGTTAAGGTTAGTAGGAGTAAGGATTTGATCGTCATCATTATGTGAGTTCTACTAAGGATGGGTTTGATTATTGGAAGGTCATCGTATGTTAGGGTTAACTTTTATCAAGGATCTGGAATATTTGGTCGGATCGTCTGATTTCTTGGAAAGTAGCAAGGAGGGATTTCGATGATGAAATCTAATTTAAGTGGGGGAGAGGTGTAACACCCTGTTTCAATTCATATTATAATTTGGGTCCATGACCTGAAGATCAAGTATCATCAGGCTTCGGGATTTGGGGAAAGACAATTTTAAACCCATTTGTGATCGAACTATATTTATAGCACAATAAATTATACTAAATATATTGAATTGATGTGTAATTGCCCGAGAATGGAACTAATTTGATGGAATGTTGAACATTACATGTAGGTAATCATATATGACTAAAAGTGGGCAGAAGCCACAAGAAAAAAGCACAAAAGGAAGCTAACAAACATGAGAGACGAATTGCCAAATTAATGAAGAAAAAAGGTTGTTGGGAAAAATTGACCACTCTTCACTATTTTGGTCATATCTCAAGGTTTGGAGATCTGATTGACGTGATTCAAGAAGTTTTGGAAACTAGAGAGAAATTCCCACAACATTCATGTTTTGTGTTTTTGATGATTATGCAGTTTTCATCACCAAAACATGCCCGGAAGATGAAGGACGCGGATCAAGCATCTATGACATCCCGTAGGACGCCAATGTCAAACAGGTCCACGACTGGGAAGATTAAGGAGCAGAGAGTCGTCGAAGTCCTACCAGGCATTTAAGACGTCCCCTATGATGTCAATGAGTTTTAGAGGTATCTCGTGTTGGAATGGCATGTTACGTAAGGAGCTCGGATTTGTGAAGGATGTCATATGCAACGTCTAAGACGTCCCCTAGGATGCCGACCGTTTTAGGCCATTTTTTAGTGTATTTCAAGGATGATAGAGAGCATGCAAAGACGTACGAAGAACGCCTAGGCGTTATACACAACGTCTAAGACGTCTCCTAGGACGTCCAACGTCCCACATCGCCAAATCGTTGTTTTTTCTTCCACAAAATATAAATAGGGACCTATGCATCCATTTTTAGGGTTTCCATTGGCAAAAATCAGAGCTCTTACCTGCGATTTTGAGGATTCTAAACCCTTAGAATCAATTCAAAATGCAATTCCATTCCATTTCAATCCGGATTCAAGGCAAGATTCAATTCAATTTGTAACATCCATAAAATTCACACCAAATTTAAACTTTTTTTTTCCCATCATAAATAAAAACCACATAGCATTGTTTACAAAATGTTTTCAAATCATTTTCCATCAGAGTGTCCCAAAAATCATAACATAAGGATGAGGAGCGATACGGTTACGCCTTCGCCTTTCCATGATCTCCTGAAGTACCTGAAAAAGTAAACTGAAACTGTAAGCCCGAGGGCTTAGTGAGCTACCCCCAAAATACCAATATCACACTGACAATACCATAACAGTAATAATCAATCAATCAACATGCATATTGGGCCATCGGCCTGACTGGACCGCCCTACCGGGCCTACAGTCTCTTTGGATAAATCCTGAGCCTTCGGCATAACTGGTCCGCCACGTGGGTCTACAGTCTCCCCAGGCTGCTCATAGGGTATGTTGGCCTTCAGCACAATGCAGGACCGCCTCAAACCAACCAACAAGCAAATAACCATGTGTGCATAGCTATCATATACTGGCATATACAAACATTAAACATATCTATCTCACTGATCACCATCATAGAATTCTCCTGTAACTAGAGTACTGACCTAGTAGGTCACTAACACACCAATCCCTACGGATCATAAAAGCATAACATACTGTCTATCTCGATTCCGAACTAACAAATCATAACCACATGCAACATACCATAATAGTAACAACTAAAAGGCCAACCTTGGTGCCGTAGACCCTATCGATATAGTGAGGATAACTCACCTCGCAGATGTCGACTCGGAAGGTAAACTCCAACTCTCGGATCACTCGACACAGGCCCCACCACTTATAACCAGAGTTCAATATACGCATAAGTCTTTAACCCTATAAGGTACTCCATAACCCAATAGTCAACCCCTGATCAAGGTTAAAGTCCTCAGTCAAGGTCAACAGTCCATGTTGACCTCAACTTGTCGAGTACACCCAACTACTCAACGAGTCCTTTGAAGCACAATCCAACTCGCTGAGTTATCGAGGTGACTCGTCGAGTTCCTTCGAATCCCGATTAGACCTTAAGGCCACCCGCCGTGTGCATGTGACATCCCCATTTTCACGGCCAGAAAAGACCGAATTTTGCTTATGCTTTATGAAAATCAGAGTACCTATTTTAATAAAAATGTTGTGGAATTTATTCCTAGAAAAACACGATGAATACGTTATCAAAGCATTTTCGAAGAAACGTATTTTATTCATTTTAAAACATTTGGGATGTCATCGTCAATACATAAACAGAAGCATAAACAGAACTTACATTCATTTACACTAGTGATCTATATCTCTTTAATCTCTCAGTGTAATGTCACTTCATATCGACACCTGTGATATAAATAAAGTGAGTGGGTCAGGTTGGGAAACCTGATGAGTACATAGGGTTTTCAACCCACAATAATATAATTATTATGTTTAAACAATCAAACAATCAACCCAATTACCCATCCCCATTATCATCTTTAGTAGTAAGGGTCGACCCTAAGAATCAGCTATTCCTTGTTCATTCATTCCTAAGGATCATCCTAAGGAATCGACACGAAGTCCATCTTTGCCATGGTTTACACAACAAGAGTAAGTTTGCATAGTCGCTAGGGCTTAGGCACTAAGTCTACATAGGCTCCAGGATTTAGGCATCAAGTCTGCATGATCACCAAGGTTTAGGTATCAAGTCTGCATGATCACCAAGGTTTAGGCATCAAGTCTGCATGATCACCAAGGTTTAGGCACCAAGTCTGCATGGACGTCAGGGTTTAGAGTACACCGGGTGAACACATCATTCATAACACCTACAGGTTGCGATCCTGCTAGTGTTCCACTGGACTGTCTAGAATAGTTTGTGGTTGTCATCCATACTCTGCTGAATGACGGGGCCATCATTTGGGAAAGGCTTCTCACATCGTCCACCTCTTACCCTCACCTCGTGGTCTATAGCACCTCTCAACTCATCATCCAACTCATATTCCATCTATTACATCTACCCATGTTTTACCCCCAACATTATTGTAGATATAGAATACATATACAATTTAAATCATTTAAAACATGCATAAAATCGTTCATCTAGCATAG